ATGTATGTGCGTAAATTAGGAATATCGAAAGATGAATATATTAATGCATGAAAAAACAGGGGAAGATGAAACAGTATGAAAAGGCGAATTAGTCTAACATAATTTCCTTGATATATTTTTTTTTAATGACAAGGAAGAACAAGACTCCCGAGAAAATAGTCTAAATAGGCGGAGCTTAAGGAAATTAGGAAGACTGGCGATTGGCTGAGGTCATTGAGAAGGTGTGGTCTTTGGGTTACCTGTCTCCTCCCTTTACAGTACTCAATAATATGATAGTTGAATAGCATTTGTGATTTTTAAAATCATGAATATTTTAATCTAACTAATTTTTATAAACATGGAAATGATTGATATATAGTTAAAGGTGTAAAGTAATAGCGAACCTTCATATTTCACATTTAAACTCGGAGATAGATATTCAATGAAAGGGGATTCTGTCGCATATTTACAAGCCCACTTACGATAGACTTCAGTAAAAAATAAATTTTGTCCTGTGTTTCTGATGTATCTTAATGTATATGAATGGAGACACTACCACAATTGAAACGAAGTAAAACGTGATGTATCGAACTCGTCAACATCCATGTCATTACATTGGTAAAAAAAATATTGGCTTCTACCATGTCTGGCGGTGAACTCCTGACGAGTTCGATGCGCCTTGTTTTCCTTCATTTCTGTTGTAACAGTGATTTCATCGTAACTCTGTGTGGGCGATACTTTTGTGTCTGTGTTCATGATGGTATATATTAACCTGTATTTACTGATTTCGCAAACTTCCTTCGCGCTTGTGTTGGATATGTAAAGGCTCTATGAAACTTGGTTATTCTCTACGATTCTTAAGAAAGAGAGAGGTGAGAGCAGAGTCGTTATGATTACCGATGTGTGAATGTTTTATAACGGTCTCGTTCCCCATTCTGGTGCACTTTCCGTCCGTTGTCTGTCTGGCAAGAATCCAGAGTGAAATCATCTTCAATGAACTTTGTGTGTTTATGAACTATGTTTGATAAAAATATAAACCTGAAATTAATCCTTAATTTAAAAAAAATGTTTCATCAATATGAAGAGGCTTCAGAGTGAAACGGCAAGTCTTATTAGGCATTAGTATGAATACCGTGCTTTCCTGCGGCAAATTATAAATCCAATGAAATTTCTCCATTCTTTGTGCACAAGGTCAACTACGATTGAATGTTGCATTTTTACCAGTCAGTTAACACGAATTTGAATGTGTCCTCAATTCACTTCATGTTACCCAACTTTAATCATTATTGTTGTAGCCTAATCCATGACGCAGCTCTTATGATCCTGTCATTTAGGAAGCGCTGACTGTGTAGGTATTGCAAAACCTCATATTTATCCTTGGGTGCTATGGGTGCAGCCCCTCAAAAAGTGCAGAACTAAATCGAGTGTCGTGTTTACATATGGAATCACGATTGGACCTTGTTTTGTATCCTCAGTTAGCATTATATTTTTGCATCACGTAGTATATCCGCAAAATATATGGTACAGATTTTGTATAGTGTATGAACTTATATATATATATATATATATATATATATATATATATATATATATATATATATATATAAGTACAATTTCCTTTCTTTTTTTTTATTATTGTTCTAGATAACCTCCGGTTCGTTGTCGTTTAAAGAAAATTTGTAAGGTCGAGTGTCAGGGCTGTATTTATAAGTTAATGTAGAATGATCCATAACTGCAAGGTGTGATGTAGTTCGTAGCACAACGGGGAGAGGCTGGTGGTTGTGCAGACAGGGTGTGGAGGTATAGATGTGTCACGGGCATTGAGTGTACCGCGTCAACGAGTGGCTGGGTCGAGAGGAAGGTGCTAATTTCCGTAACGTGAACTCTTGAGACCGAGACGTTCGTTTTAAACCCGTACATTGGTTTTAAGCTTTTGGCCAAGATAGATTTTTGTGGCATACTCTGATAGTTAAATGATTATTTTATTTAAGTTATCTACCCTCTGTTAAGGACTTAACAATGTTTACTGTAACTTCTTAGGGTTTAATAATCTAAGTATACATCTTTTCACAAGCTTCATATACAGCATTTTATGATAATGTATATTGTTTTTATTTTATCTTCTTAGTTTCACGAAGGTGTTCACCATCGTGCACATGCAGTCATAGGTCCCCCATCAGGGGAGGGCGCGCCCCAACCGTTCTGATTCGTCGACCAATCATGGTGACCCCGCCCACCGCCCCGGACGCTGCCAGATGTAGAGTAATCAAAGATTACTGGTGCACTTCGGACCCCTTGCCCTTTTATTTCTGCCATTTCTTAAGTAAACTAATTACTGCATCCACCTATATATATCCATATATATATATATATATATATATATATATATATATATATATATATATATACATATGTGTGTGTGTGTGTGTGTGTGTGTGTGTGTGTGTGTGTGTGTGTGTGTGTGTGTGTGTGTGTTTTATATATACATACACATATATAAATATTCATATATATGTATATA